TAAGGTGACTACATGAGGGATATATATTAGATAAAATGTCTTACTGTACTGAGTAGTTTACTACAGTATCTTTTCTATATGAACTGGCAAGATCTAATATAGGGTAATAGTGTTTAATTCATAGCAATTCAAACAGCAAATCAAAACAAAAACCAAGAATAAATTAGAGTGGAAAGGCATAGGATCTTTTGGGGACGGGGATCAGAAATTTCATTGAAAGACCTGAATTGTTCAGAGTCATGATAGAATAAGAATACCATAGAAATCTGAGTGTCTCAATTAATGTAGTTACAGTCTAAGTTTGTGTAAGAATCTGGCATATGATAGCAAATGATACGTTTCTGTTCAGTGGAAAAGAAATTAACAAATGGTGGAAATGTAATTGGTTTTCCATATGGAAAACAGTTGAAGTTAAATCACTATACTCTTGCCACATGCAAAAACAAAAATTCTATATGAATTAAAAGTCTTAATGTAAAAATAGAATTTTTTACTCAAGCTAGTAAATCACCCACATGTACCAGCTCTTCTCCTAGGACCCTATTGAAACAATAGTAAAAAAAAAAAAAAAAAAAAAAAATTTAAATGTAAGCTTACAGTGCTTTTAGAATGAGATGCAGCCAAACTGGGATTGTACAAGTTTCTGAAAGATGAGGAAATGGTGGAAGTAAAAAATGATTGCTAAAAGGAAATCAAGGATCTTTAGTTTTTCCGGTTATTTGTTCTTTCCAGCATGTTAGGTTACCACTCACTATTTAAAAATAAAATGCTAACTTTAGAAATATCTCAGTAGTCTTTGAAATTATTTGGGATACCCTTAAGTGTTTGAAACCCAGAATTGGAAATTTATGTGCCAAGCCAGACTTCGCAACTGTTTTTGTAAATTAAGTTGTATTGCAACATAGTCATGCTCATCCATTTGTGTATTTTCTGGGGCTGCTTTTGTGCTATACAAAAGTCAAGTAGTTACAACAGAAATATGGCCCATAACACCTTGTACATTACTTTTAAAAAGAAAAACTTTAACTGAATTTACAGAGAGTTAGAAAAATAATATCAAATTAGTTGTTACGTTCCCATCACTCAGAATTACTGTGGTGCTGGGGATGGATCCCAGACCTTTGCACTGAACTACATCCACACATCCCTTTTTAAAAATATATTTAAATGTTGAGACGGTCCCACTAAGTCATTAAATTTGCCAAGAATGGTCTCAAACATGTAATCCTCCTACCTCAGCCTCCCAAAGTGCTGAGATGAGATTAGAAACATGAACCATCATGCCTAACACTTTGTTTTTGTTATAAAGGTTTTGTACACTAGTTTGGGAAGAGTCTACTCTATATTCCTTTTTCATATTCTGGTTTTGCTAGTTCTTTTAAATGTCTAGCCACAGAAAACGAGCCAAAATTTTTAAAAATATAGTGTGTTTATTTGGACTATAAAATTTATAAATTGACTTAGAAATGGCATCCTTATGATGTTGAATTTCTTATATAAATGTCTTCCATTGTTTCTGTCTATATATTTTCTTTTAATTATAAATAGGACTTTTTTTCATCTTCTGTCTGCTTTCTCTGCACATACAAAGAAAACATGTACGTATATTTTGTGCTATAGTATACTAGTAAGTTATAATAATAGTTTGTTGTTTTGGATATTCCAAGCATATAATATCATCTGCCTTCTAATTTCATTTGTTAATTGTGTTAACTAAAATTGTAAGTCATAAAATGTAAAAATGGGCCTTCCCTATCTTAGGGACATGTGAAGTTTGCTGCTGGTGTAGGAACTGATACCTCGCATGTTATTGAAGTTGGGTATAGGTGTTGTTTGTTTGGTACTGGGGATTGAATCCAGGATCTTGCAGAAGCTAAGCATGTGCTCTGAGCTATATACCCCCAGCTCAGTTGATTTTTATTGTCTTGTTGAAAAGACACAGTAAAAAATGTGCAATAAACCGGACAGTGGTTATTGAATTCGTAAAATGTCTTTTCAACATCACTGGCATGATCATATATTTTTTCTGTGTAGATCTGTTTATATGTCCAAATGATACAATTTTCTACTAGTGACTTTTTCTCTGTAAATCTTGATAAGAGTTCCTCTGTCCTGGGGTCAGTTTTGATACATTGTATTTTCTAACAAATTACCTATTTCATTCAGAAGTTCAAATTTGTTTGTGGAGATATGCGAAGTAGTTTCTTTTTTTTTTTTTTTTTTTTTTTTTTTTTTTTATTGAGTTTATTGGTACATTTAGGGATTTCTTATAGGTTATCTGGTTTCCTCTCTCTGTTGGCATTTTCTTCATATGCGGTGCTGAAAATTGAACCCAGGGCCTTAAACATGTAGGCAAGTGACTTACTACCACTTAGCTATCCTCCCACCCCTGTCCACATTTAATTCTATTTGAGTGTCTTTCCTGTCAGATGTTTTTTTCCTCCTTCCCTTATTTCCTTTTTTCAGTAAACATTTGGATAAAAGTCTAAATAACTGCCCTTTTCCTTTCTTTTCCCTACCCCATACTTAGGAGGAACCTAGTTGCATGTTCTCAATAAAGACTTAAGAAGTTTTCCCATTTCATTAGGTGTGGCAGCTGAAATGTGGTTGCCCATGGTTGGTGGGCGTGTGGGTGGGTTAGTTGGTTTTACAGTGCTGGAAATCAAACCTAGGTCCTTGTATTCCCAGCTCTCAATTTTTAAAAATGTTGTTGAGTGACTTGCTGTTGAGATACATTTAGTATGAAATTCTTTAGATTGCATAAAAGAGAGTCGAAAGTAAATATGGTATTCATGAATTTTGTATAAAGCCGTTTTGGTTTAGGAAGAGATGGCTGTAAATTACACTAAAAGGATTATAAGATATATATCCTTTCATGAAACATCTTTTTTTTTCCCCCATAAAATTAGATAAAACAACTTGCCTTCTAGAGCAGAAAGGACTTTGATGATTTGGATTCTGGAAAAGGGCAAAGAAAATTAAAGATTTAATGGTCCATCTGAAGGGCAGTGGTTTCTGCTCATCTTGCGCATCTGGTTCCTTTTATGATTGTGTAAAGTTATGACCCCTAGCTCAACACTCCTGTGTGTGCCTCCCTCCCTCATGTTACCATCTTTTCTCTTATTTTCTTTTACTATTTTAGTATAAAGCTATTTTATTTGAAATAAAGAATTTAAAGGCTTACAATTAGAATTTTGTTAGATCGCCACCTCTGTCGTTTGGTTCTCAGTGTACTTTATATTTCCAGACTTGCTTATTAATGGTATGATGCAGAACAGAAAAATGATCACTCTTTGAAGTTCTTCTCCACTGTTGAGATTTTTCCTCTGTCCTCAAAAGACTGAATTACTTCCCTACCTCTTGTCCTCTGATAGGGGGAAGAAGATGTAGACAATGTAGATCAACATTGTCTTAGTAAGGAAGATATTATATTACATCTATATTTTCATAGTATAAGTTATATTTACCTAGTAATTTTATTTTTCAGCCTACCTTTTGTTGCTTTGTCCTAACAATATCCCTACAATTATATGTAAGCAGACAGTAAATAGCCATTTACAAATTGTGAAATGAATTAAAATGGACCAAAATTAAAGTTTGAAATTAAGACCTGAGTCTCTAAATATAAGCCTTATACTCATTCTTTTTAACCATAAAGACTTTTGTACTACCCCAGGATGTCCCTTCCTTTTCAGATGTCATTGGATTACGCCAGTTTTATCAGTGACGGTGCTCATCATAGAGCTGACTAGCTCCAACTCTCTTGATTTGTTAAGGCACTTTAGCTGCAAAATTTCAATATTTTCAAAATTTCAGTAGTAGCCAATCCTTCTGTATAATCTGCCTGCCTTGGTCTGATTCTTGGATTTCTTTTACAGAAACATTTTTTTATGTCAAGATCTTTAAATATTGCTTAAGTATAAACTATGCTGGGGCAGTGATTTAGCTCAGTGGTGCTGCCATCTGTCTCACAAGTGCGAGGTCCTGAATTTGATCCCCGGTACCCAAAAAAAAAAGCTGTGTTAATTTCTTTTTAGCTATTAAATAATTAAGATGGGCAGAATTATATTTATTCCAAAATGAGTTTGATATTAAGCTAAAAAGAAAATGTGGTTCTCTCCTGAATCTTACTTGATTAATTCTAATATAACTTCTAATATTCTGTAACTCTTCACACCAAGGACTTCTTACCTTGTCTGTCTTCCTTGACCTCCCCCTTCACAGTCATTAACTTCCAGACTTGCTTCATTTCTCCTTCATTCATTACTTCAACATCACCCATTTTCTTTGTCTTTTATCCTCAATATAAGTATAATGGGTCCCCAAGACCACAAATGTCATAAAATGTCCTCTTCATTCTTTTGAATAAATGTAACAGAATTTTATATTAGATTATGTGAATTCTTATTTATCATCTTCCTATCAGAAAGATTTAAAATCTCAATCTAATGCTATCCTTTGTGACCATTTTGTAAGACTGCATTTAACGGAACCTTAGAACTTCAGGACTAGTTTACTGTGGATGATGTTTTAAGACTAGCCTTTTATTAAATGAAAGTGGTCAAATGGAATATATGCTCTCATTCATCCATTACTGCTTAATAAGTCAAACAAAAATGCAAAATAAGTTAACTAGTATAAGTAAATTTCTTTTCCATTATTACATTCCCTAAGTTTTGCCTGTAAGACTGGTTAAAATATCTTTAAAACCTTGAAAAGATTCTTACCTGATAGAAATCTTATCCACTTGAGAAAAGGCAAATGTATTCAGACTGTACTCAGGTTCTCTCTTCTATTTTAATCTTATTTGTCTTCAATTTTCCATCCTCTTAGCAAGATGCTGCTGCTTGAACTTTATTGTTTTAAAATCAAATCACATTAACACAATTCTTCTAATTACATATCTTGAGAGTTTTGTTTCTTTTATCCCTTTCTTTAGAAACAAGCAGCTAGTATTATTTTTTTAGTAGTGAATTTCAAAATCCTTTTTAACCTTATAGGTCCAAGGGTAGCCAAGGATGGCTGCAGCTTCATATGATCAGTTGTTAAAGCAAGTTGAGGCACTGAAGATGGAGAACTCAAATCTTCGACAAGAGCTAGAAGATAATTCCAATCATCTTACAAAACTGGAAACTGAGGCATCTAATATGAAGGTATCAAGACTGTGACTTTTAATTGTAGTTTATCCATTTTTATTCAATATTCCCTCTTGTGGGTAAGACACTTTACTTACTCAAAAGTGTTTTTTAAGGTAAGCAATAACATGTAAATTCTTTCTTGCAAAAGTTAATACTTATATTTTTAAATAAGATGTATTGAATTCTTTCAGTGAATCCTATAAAAAAGATAAATGTTCAACCTCAGTAACTTAAGTTCTTATAAAGAAGTGAAGTTTATCATCACTGTATTGACAAGGTTGTCCATGTGGTTTACAGAAAGTAGCCCAGAATAACTCGAATAGTAAATATAGCTATCTTCCTACACTCCCTTAGATCTGGTCAACTCTTAAGTGCTGCAGTGATAGATGATCGGGAAAATCAGACTACCTTAGTGGGAAGAGCCCTGAACAGAAAGTCAGTAGCTGGTCCTCTCCTTGACTTTGCCACAAACTAAGCTACCTCACCTGTGGTTACTTTTGAGGACAAGTTGGCCTATTTGGAAGAGGCAGGCATCACACAAGCCTTGATGATTGCCATGCACTTTCAAGCCCTAAAATTTGGTTTGCCAAATACCATTGAAAAGCTGTGATAACCTCCAAGAAAAGTTATATTCAGTCTATAGTGGGGAAAACATACTCTTTTCAAAATAATCAAAGTTAAAACTTCAGCTGTTTTAATTTCCATTGACCTAGGCAGATTCTCTTCTCACTGAATTTAATAACTGTAGAATTTGGAGTGATCAGCAAAAATGTTAACCTCTTTCCTCTTTAAAAAGTCTTCCTCCTTTGTGTTGTTTCTGCTGCTTGGCTATTTTAACATCTGAATTCCTTACTCTGTTCTTCCTGTCTGCTCACTACTTATTCCTTACTCATTTCTTAGTCTATCTGAGTCTTTTTCTATGCATTTCAAAACCTCTTTTATTCTACAGGCTTTTTGTATCACTGAACAAATTATTCTTGTTCTTTTACCATTTATATTCAGTGTCATAACAGTTCAACTTTTGCTCTTACATACACTATCCTTTCTTTTTTTTTTTTTTTAATATAATCCATTTCTTTGGTAAAACTCCCCAGCAGTAACCTATCTCTAAAACATCTACTTCACCTTCTTTTAGAAATAGATAGACTATAAATAAAACATTTTTTGCCTTATCACAAGTATGTATCAACGACTTAAAAACACCTAATAGGTTAAGGAAGAATCATTTTATATCTTAGCACTGGTCAGCATAGTACGTCTCAAATTGTTGTACCTGGCACATGTTTTTAGAAGTTTAAAGATGCAAAATTAAAGTATTGTTTTATCTACTTTGGTGTGATATATTTTTCAGAGAACTATCAGGCCTATTTGGAAAGTAAATATCTGTTTTATAAAGCAGAGCTTTGAGCTCGCTTCCTCAAGTTTTTGTTTACTTGAGCAAATTCAGAATTCACTTTTGGTCCTGAGTTTAGTCCCCAGTACAACTTCCCCAAAAGTGGGGGGGTCATTTTGAGGAGACATTTTAACCTGTCCTTAGTCCACCTCTATAACAAAGTACAGCACCTCTCAGCATGACATCTTACTGTTAAATCTGTACAGTGGAATGAGGTCATTTATCTAGGTGGTATAATATACACCAGGAATATTGGTACCTCAGATGTCTTAATTCAGCTGTGAATTGATTTGTTACCACATGCTTCGGTAGACATCTTGCAGATCCACCCATATATTTCATTAGGATTGGGCAAATGGTATCATGGCATTTACAGTATTAAAATGAAATGATTTACATATATCTAAAAGGCTTTATGCTGTTAAAGTACCATGTGACCTTTTTATTTTCTTAGAATATTGATTTGTAAAAAACATGCTTTTGGATCCATTGGTACTTTCTGCATTGGATTAAAGTTAATGCAACACAGTGATTATTCCCCCCAAAAGTACTTACTAAACCTTGGATGATATTATATTGAATCATGTTTCCTGATCACTAGCGTATTTACCACAAAGCAAAGCAAGGTATGTTTCCTCCACCCAAATTATTTAAACTAAGAAAGTCTAAAATGTATTCAGTAGTGCTATCTAGTGGTAAAAGAGGATAGTGCCTCATAATTGATTACACAGTATTGATACACACTATAAAAAATATTTCGCATGTATGTGGCATCCAGAGAAATATATTTATAAGAATTGGAGAAATGTGAGCATTGACTGTATATTTAAGGATATTAAGAATATTTTTAACATGATGGCATTGTGATTATGTTTAAAAAGAATCCCTATTTAAATAGATACTATATTGAAATATTTGCAAAATAAATTCTTTGATGTCTAGAATTTGTTTTCAAAATAAATCTGGGTTGGAGAAGTGAAATTGGAAGAAGGTGATGTGGGTGTAGATGAAATGAATGTCTTAACATAATTATTGAAATGGTTTGTGAAGATACAGGAGGGCTTGTCATATAACAAAATTATAATAAAATGAAACAGACTACGTGAGATTTTAGATGACCTGGAATCAGATAAAGAGAAATTGTACATTATATTTTTCTTTTATTGAGTTGAGATCTTGCCAAGTAGCTGGGAGTACAGAGCACACCACCACACCTTGTGTACTGTATTTTTAAATTCAGGGTTGGAAGTCACCTTGATTGACTCTAAAATGCTAAGCATATCAATAAGGTAAATATGGTCATGGCAGGATGTGAAGCATTTACACTGAGAGATGGCATCGTGTAGTAAGAATTGTCTCTTGAGAAATTAGTGATGAAGCATTTACAACTTTGTTGTGTTTTGACAAAATGAAATACTTATAAATTCCTCTATAAACTATAAGCCATATGCATATAAAGTCTTTCAGAGTGTAAGGAAAAAAGAGAAATAAAAATTAAGATTGACACATTTCATAATTTATTTTGAAGATGTAGTTATCAAGTGTGCTTGTATTTGTTAATGAAAAGAGTCTGCCTATTATATACTGAGCAAAAGAAAAGTGGATCAAGCAGCAGCTCCCATAAAATGACACTATTTCTCATTGATAAATGTTACTGCAGATAAGACTACAGCATATTTTAATGAATAATTCACTGTTTTCAAAATCTTAAGATGTTTTAAGACACAGTACACGATTAGCTATTTAGATTAAACTTCCAGGATTTATAAATACAAATGAATATTTCCTCCAAAATTACACATATATTTTTCATATAAAGGTACCGTTTTTCATCTATCATTTTTTTGCAAAACTTTTACTTGGAATTGCTTCATTGCTGTGTTGCATTTTCTTTATTTAAAAAAAACTGAAACTGAAGGGCTTGGGGTGGGGGGGTTAGTGTGCATTATGCATGCAGCCCCAGAAAATCCTACTCAGCAGCTAAAAAACACAAAAACCTTTTTTTTGAGATGGTGTCTCAACGTGTAGTTCACGCTGGCCTTGAACTCACAGCAATCCTCCTGCCTTAGCCTCCTAAGTGGTTGGATTACAGGCACAGCCAACAAGTATGGAAAACTGGCCGCCTCAAGGATTTTACTGTCTATACTTACAAAGGAGGAAGTGTCCTTTCTAGAAGAGCTAAGGTTATTGGTGATTTTCTTCTTTGAAAATGTTGATTGTCAGGATAGACTGAGAGTCATCATTGGCAGAAGCAGATGACTCCACTCAGGGAGGGGAGGTCTTGACAGACATAAGTACGAATGTGAAAAATTGGCATGGAAATAAGTGCCACCTGAAAATAGGTTGAGCTGGAAAGGCATTCTTGAAGTGTGAGGAAACTTACCTGCTGTTTCCAACATGGCTGGTTTTCCATTCAAGACAAAATTCAAAGTTCAATAGGTAGGAGGAGGTTAAGACCTGAGGAGACACAGACCCCTGTTATATTTTTTGTCTAAATACAGAAGGACACACTCAAAGAACTGGGAAAGCCAAATCAGATGTAAGCTGAACTGAAAACTGCAACTAGTTTCCAGTTCATTTTCAGTTTTGGGTTGGAAGAAAGAGATCAGATCCCCAACAATGGAGAGAGCAAACTCTTTTAGGGAAAATACCGTCATTTTAAGGCTTTCTTTTCTTGTGTACATACTTGAGATATATTCAAAAGTTACAAGACGTATGAAAATGAATGAGAAGAGAAAGAAGCAAATCCAGAGGTGATCCAGATGTTGGAGTTAGTGCTTAAAGATTTTTAATTTAACAATTATATAAATGTCATAGAAAAAGAAAAATAGCTAAAAAGAAGGAAATTTTTGACAGCGAATTGGAATCTATAAGAAGAATCAAATACATATTCTAGCCTTTTATGTTCTTGAAACATGCAGAAATTTCTTAAAATATCAAAACTAACCATATAAGGGGAAAAATGATAAATTAGGCTTTATCAAAACTAAAAACTTATGAGGGCCAGGGATTTGGCTCACATGCTACAACTTGAAAAATAGGAAGTGTCTAAGGCTCAAGAGAAGTGAAGGCATGCAGTCAAGGTCACACGGTTAGTAAGCAAATGGACTGAGCTGTGAGTCCAGGTCTTGTGTGCATCATGTGCCCCGGCATCCTTGATAATGCCCCAAAATATAAGGATCCCTCCAAGAAAAGAAGCTTGATGTTTCATTTGTGAGTACTTTTGAGTAGGGCTGTGTCACAGTGGCACCTGGGTCCACGTTGTTGGGCAGTCACAAAGGCAACCATCTGCCCTTCTGAAGCACTTAGGGAATGGACATTTAGAATATTTTTTGATTATTCTGAAAAGGCTGGAGGTCTATAACTCAGTGGTAGATAGAGCACATGCCTAGCATTCTCTCTGTGCGGGGGGGCTGTTTTGTTTTGTTTTGTTTTGTTTGATGCTTAGCATTCTTGAGGCTACCCTGAGTTTGATCACCAGCACTGCTTGAATGAATGAATGAAGCAAACAATATTTTTGTGGTCTAAAGTAGGCAGGATTTCTTTGGTTTTGGTTTGATTTGGGTTGGGTTTTGTTTTTTGTTTTTGTTTTTGTTTTTATACTGGGGGTCTGATCAAACTC